CCGTGAAGCCCATTTGAAGGTCAGTGTTCTAACACTCAGCGGGGAGGTCTTAAAGATGAGAAAAACTGCACTTCACTGGCATCTCAGAGTGATTCTTTCTAAGCACAAAAGCACACATGGCTTGTCTCTTCTCTCCTGGATCCACAGTGTAAAAGCATTTAGATGCCTGCCGCTAGGATCACTAGTAAGAATTTGTGGTCAAGTTGTGTGTGTGTGTGGGGGGGGATGGTTGTTTGTTTTCTATCACCCCACACACTTTAGATCATAAAAGCCAATGGGGAATGCCAACTCTTCAGAATACATTCCAGTGCTACTTATAAAACTCTACTACAGAGGAGCTGACTGGGTAGGAAGCATCAATGATGAGATACCAGCGGTGCGTTCAAAACACATAGCTTCTACGTGATTTTGCATCCTACTTTCAGCTTCGTTGGTTTATAGTTTGGTTCACGTCAACAGTTATGTTTTAAAATAATAGCATCAAGAAGCAGCTTCTAGAACTGGGAATAGTGCAACTTCATCTTCTGTACTTTGGACATGTTATTGGTTGGGACCAGTCCCCCTGGAGGAAGGACATGATGCGAAAAAGAGGAAGACCCTCAGTGAGTTGGATGGACCCTGTAACTGTCACCAGTGACTGAAACAGAATAAAGATTGTGACGATGGCAAAGACATTCTTTTGTGCACAGGGCCTATATTGTTTGTTAAGTGCCATCAAGTCAATTTGGAATCATAGTGACCCTGTATAGGGCTTCCAAAGATTGCAACCACCAACCTTGCAGTTCAAATCAGTCTTGTGGTCCAGTGCTTATCCTGCAGCACCACACCAGGGCTCCATGAGTTGGAACCAATTTGACAACATCAAGCAAACAGCAACAGAAAGGGTTTAAAGTGTTGTTGTTGTTAAGTGCCGTCGAGTCGGTTCCGACCCATAGCGACCCTGTACAGGGTTTCCGAGGGTATAAATCTTTACGGGAGTAGAAAGCCTCATCTTTCTCCCGCGGAGCGACTGGTAGTTTCAAACCGCTGACCTTAAGGTTCGCAGTCCGATTCGTAACCACTACGCTACCAGAGCTCCTTTTTTAGTACTTTTCATTAAGTTGAAATGAAGAGATAATTTGTGAATACCATAATTATTTAGAAATTATTTGAAAATTGTCTAGTTATTTAGAAACTGTCCTGCAATGAGTATTTTCAAGGCCAAAAGATTGGGCCTAAGAAGATTCTCTTTAGCTGGGTGGCCTGAGTGTCCCAGATTTCTCCCCTTGCAAGGAGTGAAGCCTACAGCCCAACGGGAACAGCAGGAACCTGGGTAATGGAAATTGACATAACAATTTGTAATGGACAGGTGTTTGGGACAAGTTTTGTGGGAGAATTTGACCACTGATTGGCCTTTATAGTTTAAAGAGGAAAGAAAAGAAGTTGCTCCTACATTTGCAGGAGAATTTGAGCAAAAAGCCAAGAGCTGGAATCAATCACTAGTCATTGAGCATGTGCTTTTCCACTGCATGAGAACAGGGGTGCAGAGTTGCCTGTGGGTAGCACAGATTACTGGGAGAGACAGACAGACAGACATCACACACAGAACCAAGTTCAGAGTGCTGCAGGGGCTGTGGAAAAAGTGAGCTTAATATATCTAGGGGTTCCAACGGTCTTCCCACTCTCCCACTTGGAGCATTGTCTTCAAGAGCCCGCAAGAAATAGAGCCAGTTCGAGAGCTATGGATACAGAGGTGGAGAGATTGAGAGTCATTTACTTTAAGGGGTTAGCTCACACAGTTGTAGGGTCTGGCACATCCAAGATGCATAGGTTAGGTGAAGAGAGAGAATGGGCTCTGCCAAGATACCTATCTAGTCTAGTGAAAATGGCTTGTATGACTCCCTATGAACCCAGTTGGAGACCTGGTTGGCCAGCAGTATGGCAAGACCTGGGGACTCTTGGTCCCAGAGTCAGTGACGTAGCCACAGAGGACTAGAGTGGAGAGTGAAGCATCCAGCGGATAAGAAGAGAGAGCGTATGCACAAGAACACCCACACTTGCAGATAATACCCACTTGACCTGGCTTTAATTACTAGATGATCAGAGCTCAACTAGAACAAGAAAGTAGAGGGAAAAAAGAGCAGTCTGATACAATTTGATGAACTTGACCTACACCTATGGATGCAGTAGCTCAAAAGAGGGAACAAATCTTTACAGCAAGGATCATTCCCACCCCCTCCATACACAGAGTAGACAGGAATGGGCAACTTGGACATTGGCTACCAAAAATGATGGGTGGAGGGGCTACAAAGGCAAGAAATGACTGGCTTACAAGCTTTCAAGAGGGAGCCTAGATCCAGAGAGTGCAGAGGAAGGTAGAATTTCCACTGAGTAGTATCCAATCTGTCTGAGTGGGGCTGATGAAAGGAGATGTGGATAGCACTCATGTGGCACAATAGAGAATAATTGCTATCAGGACTGACTGTGAGGGTTGGAAATGTAAAGGTAGACATTTTGTAGCAAAAGGAGGGGAGTGGTGGACTTTGCAGTCCAGGAGCGGAGGTCCCTGGGAGCATGAAGGGAGAAGAGCAGAGACCAGGACCCTACCCAGAGAAGCAGTGATGCCAGAGATGGAGGCAGAGACGATGACGTGGAGAGATGGAGTGGCTGGGGACTCTAGACCCAGAGAGGGAGAGGGGCTGTGTGCTGACGACCAGGGGGCAGGTTTGCACGGTATACCCTTTGGTTGGTTGGTTGATGCATGGAGGGGATTGTAGCCATGGCAGTGTAACGATATACGTTAGGATGAATGTAAAGCTAATGTTCTCCCATGTAAACTATCACATAATTCACAGTAAAACATTTTTTTTTTTAATCGCCTATATGAGACCAGGTTGTCAATTGATTACTTTAAAACAAAGATGAGAATGGAAGAGAACAGGAAAACGAGATTAATGGGTAAAGATACAACAACCAGAACAGAAGCAGTAAACATGCTTGTGCGTTATGAAGACTATAGTGTGTAGTCTAACCATTTCAGCGCCTTGATGCCTAGGATATCAATGTTTATTTGTTCCATTTCACAAAATTGACAATTTTCTTAAATTTATGCTGTGTACATTTCATGTTCCAATTATTAATGGATGTTTACAGCAGTTTCTCTTCATTTTGAGTTGTGCCCATCAGCAAATGAAGGTCTTTGAGGAGGCAGCTCTGCCCCAGTCACATTCTGAGTGCCTTCTGATGTGAGGGGCTCATCTTCTAGCACTGTATCTGACAATATTCTGGTGCTCTTCATCATGTTTATATTGAATATTGAATATAGTTTACAGAGGTTAAAATGTAGATTACATTAAAATGCATCTTTGATGAATGATGATCGATTCTAAAATAACTCTGTAAATTCTATAGGCTTGTTACTACATAAATGAAATGGATACTCCCTATATCCTCAAATGACCTCTGTCTGGGTTGTCACTCTCACTCATTCATTCTGAAGTGCATATTTACTGTGTGCCCACTATGCCTGCCACGTTGTCAGGTGCCAGCTATAGCTGTGGACACTAAAGTGTAGCCCACTGCAACTTTATTTAAATCATGAGAGGGGATGACCAAAACACCATTCTAGCCCAATAGCCTGGCTTCACTACTTAGTGGTTTTGTTCATGTGTCTGTAACTTTTCCTCTGTGAAGAAGAAATGACAGTGAGATGTGGATAGATAGGAATGTTCCACTAGACATGAAAGATGCAAATGTTCTTAAAAGGGCAGCTGGAGAAAACAGAGGGATCATCCACAGAGCAGAAGGTAAAAGAGTCAGGGTTCTGCTGCGTGGCTCCCAGGATCCCACTTGGGATAGATGGTTTGAGGATGAATACCGCAGCCCATCAAGGCAGGTTCCTTGTGCCCAAGAGGTGGTCCCTGTGCCGTTTCTTCTGGGGGGGTTGAGTGCCACCCACCTTCCTCTTCCTGTGCCCCCAGCACTTCTTAGCATGAGCTCCCTGGAAAAAGTGATGAGGTCCCCAGGCCCAAGCCAGCATGACAGGGACCTCCCTCATGGTCACCAGCAGTGATTGGGGTCAAGCTTCAGGCACTGTGCATAATACAAAGTAAGAGCTCAATTATTAATACTTTGATGACTTATTAACAATATTACATGCAGTGAGATAAAACATAAGACAGATTTTTTCATTAACATCATCTTTTCCAAATATGGTTAGTTAAAAATGTATTTTTCTCCATGATCACATGTAATTCTGAGCTTTTTCTTCTAAATATGAGAAATACCATAACACCAAACCTCTGCTGTTTCTTCCATTCTCCAGAAAAGAAAGTGGTTTTTTTGTTTTGTTTTTTACACCTCGTTCTCCAACCAAAACAACACAAAGTCAACAGGAACCCACACAATGTGAAAGAATGATTTTGCTGGTAGTGCTGAAGATGCCCACACAACCGGAAGAATATTTGGTTCAGTATTATAGGTTCAAGTACTGGCAAAATAACCAGCGAAGTCTCTGTGACTCAGTGTGCCCGCTCACTTCATTGATGTTTTCAGTTGTAAATATATTTTGTTCTTCTCCAACAACTTGGAGGCAGTGAAGTTTTCCCAGAATGAGGGCCCTTTGTCTTGATTGTCGAGTGTTGCTATAACAGGAGTACCACAGTGGAGGACTCTTAACAAGCAGAAGTTTATTTTCTCACCGTTTAGGAGGCTAGAAATGTGAATAAGGTCGCTGACTCTGGGGAAGACCCTTTTCTTTATCAGAGAGGACTTCCCAGTCCCTTGGTGACCTCCCCGTGGCATCTACCTTGTCTCTTGTCCCCCATTCTGGCATTGGTGCTTCTGTACCTGAGCTGCACCTTTTATTTTTGCCCCAGTACTGATGTAAAGAGAACCCGATCCCTGGATGGGATTGCATCGGCAGATGTAGCAGCTAGAGTTCCAGCACTGCTTCCGGAGGCACAGGTCAGTCTGTAACTCCCCTCTCTGCCTTCCACTCAAGGGTGCTGTCTTGGTTGCAGGTGCTGTTTGGCACGGCCGATGGGCAGGTGATCGTCATGGACTGTCATGGGCGCATGCTGGCACACGTCCTGCTGCACGAGTCGGAGGGCATCTTGGGCATGTCCTGGAACTACCCCATCTTCCTGGTGGAAGACAGCAGCGAGAGCGACACAGACTCGGATGACTACTCCCCGCCCCAAGGTAGTGCCGGCTCCCACCCCAGGCAGCCCCCACCTCTGTTCCCCCTGCTGTCCCTTTCTTCAGAGTAGCAGGTCAGGTGGATTAAGCGCCATATAAAATGAGACGGACGACCCTTCCTGTGTCCCTGGGGTATTGTGGGGCTTAGCTGCTTAGCCAGGATAAAGAGAGATGAAGATGAAAAATGCTGAGCTATTAATATAACTTAATATGTGGCAGCTTCAGATCCCTAACGCTGTTAACTCAAGGAAAGGACTCACTTTGCGATAGTGAAGGCCAGCACCTTGGGCAGTTCCTCCATGCCCTGTCCACTTCGCTTCGGTCAGAAGCCACATGTTTCTCAACCCAGAAGAGCTCCCTCCTTCCCCGTAAGCCTCACAGCGTGTCTAATGGGTTGGCATCAGAGTCTTCAAACGAAGGGCAGTAACAGAGGTGTTTTCCATCTCCTGCCTCCTCCATCCCAGCAGTGTAGTTTGTCCCTCAGATGCATAAAGAGGCAGGGAGAAGTGGAGGCGTTTGATTTGGTGCCTGTCAGTACTCAGTGTGGGCTCTCGCAAGCATTGGTCTTCATCAGTGCCCCACCCATAGGCCCCCCTCTTTTAGTAAAAGGACAGTCTATTATGAAACCAGCGCAAGGGGAGAGCCAGGCTTAGAAGTCACCACATGCCGCAGCTCTCTGGCTACTCCACAGCTGCTCAGGGCGGCCCCTGTCTTCCCTGACGGCAGACATGCGCAGACTCAGCGTCCCCCGTGCCATTGGAGCACCTCCACCAGTACTTCGGTGTTTCGGTTTTCCGGTGTTCTCGTTTTCCGTCTGTCCTGTCACAGAGGGAACTGCAGCGATCGATCGATCCATCAATTGATTGATCGATTGATACATTTTTGCTTTGTTTTTTAAGTAGGAAAGGGTAATGTTTAAATGTGAGGGCATAAATTGTAATGGTGGTAGCATCTCAGGACCAACAGGCCCTGGGAGGAGCGTTGTTCCTCGTACCCATAAATCCATTGGGGAGGAAAGTGTACCATTCCCTCATAAGGGTAGTTATCTGTGTCTTGATAACTAATGTCAGACTCCTCATGCTTTTGAAGCGGAGCTCTTCCTTTAGGAGACTGAAGACAGAGTAGCTGCCCGACTTTATCACTGCAGGAAGCGAGGTCCACAGGTGTCATTTATAGCCGGTCAGGTACCAGAGGGCTTCAAAAGTTCATGGAAAATGGAATGAAGTCAGCAGAGTTTTCTGACTAACTTAGAAGCCCCCGTGTCTGTCTCAGAGCAGCATTCTCCCTGACTGCTGTTCCAGTCTGTTGCCTTCTAAGAGCAAGGAAACCAGTTAGAAGTTCAGTCTTCCTGGTCAGGCCAAGGAGGGCTGTGGTGAGGCCGCTGAGGCGGGGCTGAGAGGGACATTCAGGGAGGCTGCACAGGCCCGATGTCTGGAGGTGGGAAACTCTGCAGGGAAGGGGTCTTTGGAAAGAACCAGGAATAGAAGGGTCCAGTGCATAGTCCACCGTGGCCACATTCTTAGGACCTGGGCATGCGTTTCTGAGTGTATAAAGCAGGATTTCCCTGATACTGGCTGCCCATTGAGGGTACAGCTCAGTTCTTCACAAGTCTGCTCTCTAGCCCTGAAGTCACTCATGACAGAAACTAAGAACTAAGGAGGAGTCTGTCCATTGGCTCATTTCCTGTTACATTCAGTGAAAGCACACTTCATGCTAAAAAGCAACTTTTCTGAACAAAAAGTGCGTTGGACCAGGAATGAGAAACATTTTTGTCCCTCGTCCTGCCAGCTTGGCACGTGAACATTGCATGACCTTGAATAATTGACACATCTGGGTCATTAGGAGCACACGCCACAGTAACATACATCTCATCACCTTCCCTGAAAGACCCAGGAGCCCCACTGCCACACCAAGGACCTCCTGGACTTTCTGTACCAGGTCCTGACTCTCGGCCCAAGGTCTCTGAAAAGGCCACCCTTTTGATGACCCACAAGTTTTGGAATGTTGTGAAACACTCGCCTCACGTGGCCTCCCATCCAGGTTCTCAGCACTACCGGGCCTGTGGACGTGGGTGGGGGTCGCGTGCTCACAGCTCCCTCTGACTCTGCACCTTGTCCTGCAGATGGCCCGGCGGCATACCCCATCCCGGTGCAGAACATCAAGCCCCTGCTCACCGTGAGCTTCACCTCAGGAGATATCAGCTTGATGAACAACTATGACGACTTGTCCCCTACTGTCATCCGCTCGGGCTTGAAAGGTACAAAGTGCCCACGGGTCAACCCAGGGTCTCACAGCAGCATTACTGCTTCCTGGCTACTGCCATGACCCCATCTGTGCAGGTCACATCCCCCAGGGCCTTGGCTTCGCTGGCAAGTCCTTCCCTAGCCTGAGCTGGAGACGGCTTCCCCATAGTCAGCATTTGTCACAGGTGCTCTTACCCTCCCTGATGCAGGTGAAGTCATCGCTCAAGCACACAGGTATGTGTGCACCAGATGCACAGTGAGCTGACTGCAGCACCTGTCAGTCTGCAGGCGACGGAGGGTCATTCTGAGGGTTAGGTGGGCTGGGGATGGCCCACCACAGTAGATGGAAACATTGATATCGCGTGCTGGTGTGGTGAAACGTGGTTCTGTCAGAAGGCAACTTCCTGGGGCCATTGTTGTTGTTAGGTGTCATATGACTGATGTTGTGCCCCTGACGATTCTTTAGAAACCACTTCTGTCTGTTCAGTTGAGTAGTGCAGTGTCGGCAGTTTCTGGTCTGTGACATGAAAGAGACCTTCTGTCATAGGGTAGAGACACGCCTGCATCTTTGGTACAACATGTGACAATCTTTCCAAATAATCATCAGTCCAGTGGGTATTGCCATGTGCTTCTTATCTGGCCTGAATGATGCACAAAGAATCAAGTTCTTCACTGTTGGTTGGCAGCAATGTATTATCCTTCTCGCCTCCACACCCCCGCAAGTACTAAACCCAACTGCTGACCAGTCAGTTCTGACTCACAGTGGCCCTATAGCACAGAGTGGAACAGCCCTATAGGGCTTCCGAGGCTGTCAACCTTTACAGAAGCAGACTGCCATAGCTTTCTCCCATAGAACAGATGGTGGATTCGAACCACCAAACTTTTGGTTAGCAGCTGAGAGCTTTTAACCACTGTACCACCAACGAAAAAGCAAGACACCAAATCCATTGCCACTGAGTCACTTCCTACTCATAGTGACCTGTGTAGGTTTCCGAGGCTATAACTGAACCGGAACTGAAAGCCTCTTTCTCTCGTGGAGTAGCTGGAGGATTTAAACTGCTGAACTTGCAGTTAGCAGCCCACCTTGGAATCCACTACACTACCAAGGCTCCTTAAAACAGGGTTGTTGTTGTTGTTGTGAAGTGCCGTTGAGTCGGTTCTGATCCATGGCGACCCTGTATAGGGTTTCCCAGGAGCAGCTGGTGAGCTTGAACCACCACGTCTGGCTGGCGCATTACCCCACAGCGCCACACCATAAATTCTCCAGTAGGTTCTGTTTTCAGTCTTCAAAGATTGTACTTTCAAACTTTGTGAACAGGTGTATGCATTTCTTTGGAGTCTGCTTCTAATTCCAGAGTCCTGGAAACCTTTGTTCTCTCCCAGGTATCTAAACCCTAACGATTCTGTTTCTGGGAACTGTTTTACTCGTTGGATGTATTTGTTCTTATTAGAATGTCTGTCAAATCAGATCGTATCGGACAGCACTTTGAATGCAGCCCCTCAAATGTACAATGAGATGTGCGGAGAGAAACAGGCTGGGGAGGCCAAAATTTTGACTTGATTTTTATCCTAAAAATACAGGCAAATAAGGCTGGTGGCACAGTGGTTAAAGCACTTGACTGCAAACCCAAAGATTGGCAGTTCTGGCCTACCAACAGCTCCACGGGGGAAAAGATTTAGAGAGCTGCTCTCAGAAGGATGACAACCTAGGGAACGCTGTGGGGACCCGTCTCCTCAGCCCTACAGGAATACTGGAAGTGAGAATCGACTCAAAGGCACGCACCACACCAGTCAATAATAGACTCGAATGTGAAGATCCCTGGGTGCCATGAATGGTTCAAACCCATCCAATGACTGAGGACAGAAAGCCCTGGCGATCTGCTTCCATTAAGATTACAGCAAAGAGATGCCATGAGCATTTGTGCTCTAAGGCATTGGGACAGCATGACTTCAAGTCTGCAACAGCAGCCGACAACAACAGCCGACAGCAGCCGCCGACAGCAGCCGACAACAGACAGCAGCCGCCGACAACAGCCGCGCAATGTCACTGAGTGCCTCTGCAAGTTCTGCTATGGCACTGTAGGATAAGCATTGGACTGCTAACCACAAAGTCAGAGGTTCAAACCCACCAGCCACTTTGTGGAAACCCTATACAAGGTCACTATCAGTCGTAACTGTCTCAATGGCACTTAACAACAACAACAATCTAAAAATGTGTTTAATTACTTTCAAGGGGGGAGTTTTTTGTGATTTTAAAACATTAGATTAAATTGAGGTGAACTGGTGCCGAGCATTGATGCTATATGGGTAATTTCTCTGTCTGAATATTTCAAGGACCTGGTCATGCATGTGTTATAAGCGCAATAGTTTTGGGTTTTGTTTTGTTTTTCTTGTAAAGCCATTGATTATGAACAATATCAGTAAATACCTAAATGCCGTCAACAAAGACACGGGGCACTCTTCCAGCCACAGTCATCCTCCTCAGAGGGGCACCTTGTCTCGTGAGCGCACCAGAAGGGCCTCCAGTCCACGTAGCTTTCCTCTGTCACTGTCTCAAAGAAATACCATCCAAGGAACTCACCAGTGAGGAAGGGTGTTGGGGGATATTCTTTAGTTTATCACCAACATTATAATTTATGTCAGGAGTCCAAGAGCAGGGTCCCTGTGGCCAGCCACTGCTCTGCTCTTCAAACCCTCTTTTCTCTGAGGAACCACATTCAGGAGGGCTTGTTGGGAGTAAGTTGCCTCTGCAGAATCACCATCGGGAGGGCTTGTTGGAGTTAAGTTCTTCTGCAGCTGAGGAAGTTCAGCCTTGGGGGAAAAAAAAAAAATCTTCTGAGCATCCCAGTTTGGGGGTCTTGTGCTTACCACGTGGTTTACTTCCTTTGGGTGTTTACGCTTTGTTGTAACCTGTGTTCTTTTTTGATGAAAAGCCATTCACCAGGGACTCAGGGCCTAGCTGACTAAACCCACAGTCCTGTCAGGACTGGTGAAGTGGCTGACATAGGCCCTTCCCTGCTCCTGTCTGCCCTGAAGGAAAAGCATTCAAACCCCTGGGGTTCCTTTGTTTGTCCATTTGTTAGTTGTACAGAATTTTCGCTTGCCATCACTGCATGAATCCAGGAAAATTGGAAGTCGTTAAAAATGAAATGGAACACATAAAGATCAATACCCTAGGCGTTAGTGAGCTGAAGTGGACAGGTAATCAGGCAATCATATGGTTTATGATGCCAGGAATGACAGATTAAAGAGGAATGGCATCACATTCATCATTAAAAAGAGTATTTCAAGGTCTATCTTGAAGTACCTTGCTGTCAGTGATAGAATATCTATATTATATTATGGGAGGAAGACAAGTCACATGTCTGTTATTCACATTTACTCACCAACCACTAATGTCAAAGATGAGGACATCTGAACATTTTTACCGACTTCTGCAGTCTGAAATTGATCTAACATGCCATCAAGATGCATTGATAATTACTGGGGATTGAAATGTGGGCCAGTGTTTGGAAATACAGTCATGATGTTAGAAGCAGTGCTAGAGATCGGATGACAGAATTTTGCAAGATCGATGACCTATTCATTGGAAATACATTTTTCAACAACATAAATAGCAGGTATACATTTGGACCTCACCAGATAGAGTACACTAGAATCAAACTGACTACATCTGTGAAAAGAGATGATGGAGAAGCTCATTATCAGTCAGAATAAGGCCAGGGGCCAACTGGAAAAAATCATCAATTGCTAGTATACAAGTTCAAGTGGGAGCTGAAGAAAACTAACAAATCTACGAGATCCAAAGTACAACCTTGAATATTGTTGTTAGTGTTGTTGCACCAGTTCCTACTCATAGCGACCCTGTATGGGGTATCTAAGGAGGGGCTGGTAGGCTTAGACCGCTGATTTTGTTCTTAGCTGTCCAGTGCTTATCCTACAATGCCACACCAGAACTCAACCTTGAATTTATCCCACCTGAATTTCAAGACCATCTCAAAAATAGATTTGACGGGACCCTACCCAGAGTAGCAGTGATGCCTGAAATGGAGCCAGAGATGATGACGTGGCGCGATGGAGCAGCTGGAGACTCTAGATCCAGAGAGGGAGAGCAACTGTGTGCTGAAGACCTGGGGGGCACGGGGGAAGGATTGCAAAGAGAGGATTGTAACCATGGCAATGAGACGATATACGATAGAATGAATGTAAAACTAATGTTCTCCCATGTATACTATCACATAATTCACAATAAATCATTTAAGAAAAAAAAAAAAGATTTGATGCATTGAGCACTAATGACCGAAGACCAGATGCATTGTGGGATGACATTAAGAACAGCATACATGAAGAAAGCAAAAGGTCATTGAAAAGACAGGAAAGAAAAAATATATATCAAAATGGATGTCAGAAGAGACTCTAAAACTTGCTCTTGAATGTAGAGAAGCTGAAGTGACTGAGGAATAATGAAATAAAAGAGCTGAGCAAAAAATATCAAAGGGCAGCTTGAGAAGAGAAAGTATTATACTGAAATGTGCAAGAATTCTGGAACACTCATGAGTTCTCACGCGGAACCTTATTCAAATACAACAAGAGGATACTTGGTCTAAAATCAGGAAGGTGTATGTAGCAACATATTGCCTTGAACAAATCTGCTACAAAATACCTCTTAATGTATCTTAGTGCATCTGACCCAGCCCATGGTGTTTTCAGTTGCCTCATATGAATGCAAAAGCTGAACAATGAATAAAGAAGCCCAGAGTACAATAGATGCCTTTGAATTATAGTGTTGATGAAGAATATTGAATATACCACGGACTGCCAGAAGAACAAACAAGTCTGTCTTGGAAGAAGTGTAGCCAGGATGCTCCTTAGAAGGGAGGATGGTGAGACTTTGTGTCATGTACTTTGAACATATTATCAGGAGGAATAAGTCTCTGAAGGACATCCTGCTTGGTAGTAGAAAGTCAGCAAAAGAGGAAGATCCTCGAGGAGATGGACTGACATAGTGGCTACG